CTCCTCTTCCATGGTGCATCTTTCTTTGCTAAGGTTCTTTTCCTGGAGATGCTTCATCCCGCTGACGTCCTTCAACTCCCCAATTATCCTCTGATCAAGCAAAGATAAGCAAAAGAACATTCAGACATGCACATGCAAGAAAACATTCATACCCACAGGCACGCAAACGTGGACGTGCACATAAACCCAAACAAAAAAACATACTCACACATGTATGTACAGATGCAGCCATCCACATTCAGTCATTCAAACTTGCTTAGTACACACTTGAATATACACTATCACCTGCTGTTAACACAATGCCTTATCCATCAATACTTGTATCACATTGTACGTGTAGTACTAACCCCTAAATATCCCAACTCCTATAGAATCAAAATACATGTCACATCCTCATATATCCCCATAAACCCCATGCATGCACTCAAGACTTTGCTCGATTGTGGCGGTTTCATAGCAATTGTTGGCAATAATAATCACTGGCAATAGTTTTCACAGAATGTCCCATTATAAATATCTGGAAGCCCAAACTCTGGACAAACTTCACTGCAGCGCCCATAGTTTGGAACTGGAATGGTAACTTCCAATCAAATCACAGACATAATTAATGTGACTGCCTGATATCATTCTGTCTTCATTGGTAATAAATAGCCACTTCAAGTGCCTGCATGAGCGGGACGGTGAAGAGATGCGGTGATGGTGTCGGGACATGGTGTTGCGATATGGAGAGGAGAAGTAGTGGAATGTTCTAGAGAGATGGTGTATTGTGATGGTATAGAGGCATGATGAGGCTCTAATATGGTGTATTGAATTGGTGGTCGTGTAGTGTGATGAGAAGGTGATGGGGAGAGTTGGTGTCGTGATATTTTGGTGTGCTGGTGAGGTGACATGGTGTGCTCGTTGTCGAGAGAATGTCGTGTGTTTTAACCCCACAGACCCCATACACATCGTGCTCTCTTTTAGCCCCGCCCCCCCTCCCAATACGTTCCATTCATTGGCTACCACATTCTGATAAGCTCCTCCCCCCTCCTCCCTCCTTAACTTGTATTTAAGAACTTGCATCTTGGAATCCCTGCCTCACTTGATACAGCAAATTCAGCTGTGACGGTCCCACCTGGGACGGAGACTTGTGTTGCCTCCGAAACGTCGTGATTTTTATTATTTTATTTTTATTAATTTTTATTTCATTTTATACCTACGTGACTTTACCGAAATAACTAAGAGTATGAATCCTTGCAGTCACGAAAGCTTCAAATCTAGAACCCATACACACCTTTGGGGAGCGATTCTTGTAACTTTGGCCTGGGAAAGGGTCCACCTTATCCATAACGTCCCCCCACGTGGTCGACTGGCACGCCGACTCCCGGGCTATGAAGAACAGAAAATGCATTCAAAGTACGAGTTATTAATTAGAGAACGAAGGACATGGAGTCTCACAGAACTAATTTTGAGATCCCAGTAATTACCGCTTACCACACAACAGGACCTGCTATTGAAAAAGTCATCACATGGCAGTAAAACTTTACAAGTCATGTTTTTGTCGGCAATCTCAATTTTGGAGCTTTCGTGACTGGAGGAATTATTCTTTGGTTCTTTAGGTTAAGTCACGTATAAAGATAAAATAATAAATTAAATAATAGCATACTACGACGTTTCGATTGCAACTCAAGCAATCATCATCAGGTATAAAATAAATAGCAACAAAAATCTAACCAGAAAACTATAGACAGACACACAAGCAGACAGACATCACAAAGACACGCAGAGAGAGAACACGTATTGGCAGAAAGAGAGAGGTCGTCTCTGTGACGAGGCCTTAAATATACAGAGGGGGCGGGGGCGGAGAGATCGTAAATTACATAAGCTTGAGACCCCAGTTTGAACAAAGATGGCAACAACTCAAATATAAACCCATCCTCTTTGCCACACTCGATCATTACGTCTTCCCATTACCACCAAGCCATGTCTACGAAAAGTAATTCATCAAGGAGTCTCCTCCTCCGCATATAATCCATGTGATGCAGGTATCTGGGACTTACCCTCATATTCATCCAAGATCTCAGCCCACGTGATTTGTCTGTCCATGTTGTTGGGAACGAGTAGATTTTGTTTGAAGTTGGATGGCCTGGGGAGGTTGGAACAACGCTCAGATTTAGCAAACTTTTGAATCACTCATCCTCCTAATTAATACATATTTGACCACTCATTGTATCAATCCAATCACTATCGTGACTATACTCTTAGGTTTTTTTCGGTAAAGTCACGTAGGTAAAAATAGATAAATAATAAAAATAATTAATGATAAAAATATAAATAATAATAGAAATAAAATAATATATTACGACGTTTCGGAGGCAACACAAGCTTCCTTCATCAGGTGTAAAAAGGCACAGCAAAATAACTGTAGTTAGGTGTAAAAAGGCAAAATAACTACAGTTATGTTACAGTTATTCTACAGTTATTTTGCTGTGCCTTTTTACACCTGATGAAGGAAGCTTGTGTTGCCTCCGAAACGTCGTGAGTTATTCTTTTTTATTCATATTATTATAAATATTGTAAAAGCTAATTTTTTTTCCCTACGTGACTTTACCGAAAAAAAACCTAAGAGTATGAATCATTGCAGTCACGAAAGCTTCAAAACTAAAACACTATCGTGACTTTTGTTGTTGCTGCTAATCCTACATAATGCAATGGCATAATATGACTTTGAGACCCCCTCCCCCCACCTCCTACGCATTTCACAAGTAGTGACTAATCCCATATATACATTTTCCATAAATATGCTAAATTCATCTGTTGATATGCAAATACCTTTGTCAAGGCGCCCTTCCCACTCTAACCCAGCTTAAATATACGCTGCCAAGCTTGGTGGTGTTCATTCAGACGCTGTCTTTTCGACAGCCCTTTTCTTCACCTGAGGACGGCTGCTTGCGTTGTGGCCGAAACGTCGTGAGCATTGTATTTTATTATGTTTTATTTTTATCATTTTATTATTTTCTTTCTACGTGACTTTACCGATAGAATCAAGAAGACTATCGTGACTGTTGCTTTAAAAGCCCACTCACTCGCTTGTTTTCCCACTCATGTGTGCGCCCGATCACTCACTCATCCACCCACACGAACATGTTTATTCCAACTGCCTATTCCATTAAACATAATCACCAGACTTAACAATGATATTTCACCTCTAATCCCGACATGCATGTTCATGTACAGCCCATTTGTATTAATCGACTGCTTGATAGAGGACCCATATGCCTTGTGGGTCATTAGGGTCATATGACCATACTTTAATTATTTGTTATAATACGAGCATGACGTCGTAGGTCACTTGATGTCAGAGGTACCACCCATGTGGCTGTGACATCACAGATTGGAGGCAACTATGGCAGTGGCTAGGGTCTGAACTTAAAGGCAGACTCCTCCTCATATGTTGAATAACATTCAATACATGTAATGTAGGGCACAATTGTACCAGCAATCAGAACACAATAATTGTATACATGTTATTAATATTCTATGAGATTTAAACGGATTAGTTAAGCTTGTTTTAAATGCTGACTCGCTTGGGGTCTAAACAACGACAGTAACAGCAACATTTCAGAGAATGCCAAGTATCCTATCTAACAGTTCTAATTAGAATTTTTAATTAAAGCTTTCGTGACTGCAGGGATTCATATTCTTGGTTCTTTCAGTGAAGTCACATAGAAGGGAAACAATAAAATAATAAAAATATAAAACAATAAAATTATCACGACGTTTCGACTGCAACACAAGCAATCGTCATCAGGTGTGAAATCCACAGCAAGAAAATTTGAAAAAAGTGGCGTTTTTTTCTAATTTGATTGCTGAAAATTGAATTATGAACATATAAAAGTAATGAAGCTTTAGTTTGTGGTCGAAATGTAAAATCAACAGGGTCGCTCACCTCGTTGAGGATTCGCTCTCAAAAGGCTTCTTCTGCTGCTCCCTCGTGTGCATTCCTCTCGACTGTGGGTGGAGGCGTGGCTGTGACGTAACAGAGGTGACGTCACTAGGGCGAGGCTCCGCCCCCCACGATCCCGGCTGGCGCATCACGTGGTGCAGTGCTGGTTGTGCGCGGGACCGGAAACAACAGAGCTTGGGTTCGACTTCAGACTCCGTGGTCTACACAGCGAGGGTGAGTGAATGGGTGAGTGGGTGAGAGATTGAGTGAGTGGGTGAGAGGGTGGGTGAGAGAGTGAATGGGTGAGTGGGTGAGAGATTAGGTGAGTGGGTGAGAGATTAGGTGAGTGGGTGAGAGATTGAGTGAGTGGGTGCGTGGGTGGGTGAGAGATTGAGTGAATGGGTGAGTGGGTGGGTGAGTGGGTGAGTGAGTGAGTGGGTGAGTGAGTGGGTGGGTGGGTGAGTGGGTGAGTGAATGGGTGAGTGGGTGAGAGATTGAGTGAGTGGGTGGGTGAGTGAATGGGTGAGTGGGTGAGTGAATGGGTGAGTGGGTGAGTGAGTGGGTGAGTGAATGGGTGAGTGAATGGGTGAGTGGTGAGTGAGTGGGTGAGTGAATGGGTGAGTGGGTGAGTGAATGGGTGAGTGGGTGGGTGAGTGAATGGGTGAGTGGGTGAGTGAATGGGTGAGTGGGTGAGTGAGTGGGTGAGTGAATGGGTGAGTGGGTGAGTGAATGGGTGAGTGGGTGGGTGAGAGATTGAGTGTGTGGGTGAGAGATTGAGTGAGTGATTAGGTGAGAGAGTGAGTGAGTGGGTGGGTGAGTGGGTGAGAGATTGAGTGAGTGGGTGAGTGGGTGAGTGAGTGGGTGGGTGAGTGGGTGAGTGAATGGGTGGGTGAGTGGGTGAGTGGGTGAGTGAGTGTGTGAGTGGGTGAGAGATTAGCGAGTGGGTGAGTGGGTGAGAGATTGAGTGAGTGGGTGAGAGATTGATTGAGTGGGTGTGAGTGAATAAGTGTGTGTGAGATTGAGTGCGTTAGAGCTTGAGTGAGTGTGGCAGAGTGAGTCAGTGAGTGTGATAGAATGAGACAGTGAGTTAGTGAGAGACAGTGAGTTAGTGAGAGACAGTGAGTTAGTGAGAGACAGTGAGTTAGTGAGAGACAGTGAGTTAGTGAGAGTTAGTGAGAGACAGTGAGTTAGTGAGAGACAGTGACTTAGTGAGAGACAGTGAGTTAGTGATAGACATTGAGTTAGTGAGAAAGAGAGAGTGTGGCAGAGTGTGTGGCAGAGTGAGAGTGTGCAGTTCGTGTTTTGTCGAGAAAGTGTGGCGAGTGTGTGTGCGTTGTGTAGCTGTGTTTACATCGTGTACGTAGTGTTTGTAGTCTCTAATCAGTCTAAATTACGCTACAGAAATTCAACATTTGCACCCTTGCTTTGTGCTCTTTGATGTCGCCATTCCTGCGACGAGGACAGAAGGGAGGCCTGGCCGTTAGGCCTGCCATACACCTCGGCCTCAGGCTTCATATTCATTATTTTTTATGTTTGTATAATTTGAATTATGAACTTGTATTCCATTCATTAAATTGCAAGCGTATAAACACCATCTTGTTGGTTTATTTACTATTAAATTAATGGTTTTCTTAATCTATGTAGTTATGTTTAAGTGAGTGAGGTGGTAGTACTAAGTGTGAATTTGAGTTACATGTAAATTATTGTGCAATGGATTTGTCTGTGTGCACCTAGCCTGGCACGGACAATATGGACTATGTTATTATTAAGTCGTGAAAGAGATTGTTTATTTGTGTGTCTGTTATGTTTGTGTCAATTTACATATCTATATTTATAGCTGTGTTAATTTGATGGGTGGTGGTGATGGATAGGTGCGAGTTTTAACTTTAAAATGCTTGCAGATTAATAAAGATCTGCTTTGTTTTTAAAGATGACTGATCATACGTTATTGCAACCATATCCTTCCTTTAAAAAACACGGACGAGGAGACATTCACACACGAGTGTGCATGTGTTTCTACGAGTTTTAACGTTAATATACTTGCAGAACAATAAAGACCTGCTATGTTAAAGATGACTGATCGTCCCTTATTGCTACAATGTTCATAGCGAACACGTGTGGAGGCGAGTTTCAGGTGAAGCATCTCCATCACACAAGTTTACCCTTACCTGGCAGCATCGTGGCAGTCCGCTGGTCACACTCACTACGTCACACTCACGAGCTGTAGGGGCGGGGCTCTGTCTGCTCAGTGGCGCTGTTTTCATTCATTTAGCACCACGAGCGGGGAGTCTCATCCCTGTAGTTCCCTGTTGAGGTGGCGCATTCCTACCACGTTTCCCCTAAATTATTTGTACGACACAATATAAAAACAATTTGTTTGTTCCAATGCATAATCACATACGAGTACACAAATACACTCCCATGTACACAGACCCACACACGAGTGAACATACACAGCGTTGTAGAATGTGCATACACACTGCTTCATACATACACACGGGTGCACATGCATACAAGTGCGCATACACACATCAGTGTGCATATACAGCAGTGTACGTACAAAGGGATTGCGTTCTACTACACGAACAAATGTGCGCACAAATTATTGTACATACCTATACACACACATTCACGCATGTACATATCCACATCAACGAGTGTAAATAAACTCACGAGTGGACATACACAGATGTACAGATCCATGTACGTACAAACAGTAGTTTACTTGGTAAGTGGGGTTTTGTGATTATTTTCACAGGTTAAGCTGACGAAGATGCCCCACATCACTGAAGCACGTTATTGCTAATGACAGAAAAGCGTGCGATTCTAATTCCTTCTCTGTTTCCACTCCAAACGCTTGGAATTATTAATAAAATTAGGAATATTGGCCTCATATTTAATGAGTGTATTGAAGTCATAGGTTTAGTTTATTTGCATGAAGTCTTTTTCACGTTCATACTTCCATTTGCTTGCCATTGCTACGGCACACTAATACGGATTATTCTTCTCATTTATGAAATCTCGCTGGAATAATTTTGTTCATGAACTTATTTGCATTCAATTGCTATTCACGGTACTGAAGCTCCTCATATCTAGCAACATACCTAAGCTCATGTGGCCATTGTGCTTAAGCCGAAGTAGGAATATGCTGAATCATCGTTCGCTTCCGTTTGAATAGGGATGGGCATCTCCTTGAATAATT